CAGTAAAATTCCAACGAACTGCATCGCTGCTCTAAAGACTAAAGCCATTGCCACCAATCTGAGAACTCTTGCCACCCCTATAGGAGCTGCCGTCTTTGCGGTGGACAGCAGCTGATGCTCTTAGTTCCACGCTGCCTGGGGAATATAAGCTTCGGTCGTTAACCCTTTGCGCACTCTGAAATGCGTTTTTGTTCTTCTCGAATAGAATGTTTCATGTAAAGGACGAAGGACTCTGTTAAAGCTATGACTTAGGCTTTCTGATAAGGATTTGATTTGTTACCTTCCAAATCGCTTGGTAAAATTATATCCTCAATGCTTGATGATTATAAAGCTAAGGATGAACAAAGAGGGCTCTATGACCCCTCACCCTAAAATACAACAGAAATCTTTGTGCTTCAATATGGATTAATTAGATTTTAAGTGGTGATAAAAAGCCAGCCCTTTCGACAACAGGACCTCATTGTCGTAACTGAATCTGAGATTTCAGGGATGCAAAATAAGACCTTGTAAAGAAAGGCAGACTGTTTGCCTATAATCTTTATTCTTCTCGGACTTCTTCAACCTACACAAGAGCCTGGCCCGCGTTCTTGAGTGTCACGGGGACTCGGCTGGGACTTGGCAGAAAAGTTGCCCACAGATTCCTTTGAAAGGTAGAGGCTGGTTCACTGGGTTAATTAAAATGAAAAAGACCAAGGCTGTGTCCAGAGGTACAAAGAAAGGGAGCAGCCCAGGAGGCTCAGGACTTGACGCTGAGATTCTCTCCATCCTCAGTAAGGACTTGGGGTGAAGTATGATCTCGTAATATCTGAGAGGTGTCCTTTGTCCACAGCTGAGCTGTCTTCACTGTCATTTAAGCCACATCAACCAAGCAACATCAAACATGGCGACTCCTGCCAATTCCAAGACAGAACAGCCACCAGGGTGCCGACCTTTGAGGCGTCGTCCTGTTTGTGTGTCTGATTTAAGCCACACCTGAGAGCAAACTTCAGCAGAACATGACCCCTCAGAACGCAGGGCCTCACAGGACAGGGGGAGAGGCCACGTGCCCGACCTTCCCACGGCTGCCTCAGGCTCCGCTTGGTCCAGCTCCTCCCCACAGGGCCCCTGGGCTCCTGCACCCACAGCCAGAGGCAGGACCTGACAGCCCTGCCTGGATCAGGAAAGACACACAGGTTCCTAAAGTGGAGCCACTACCCTGGAAGATTCCAACCCATGAAACTGAACCACTGCCCGTCACATTTCTAGTCCAGGATCGGAGGAGAAG